TGTCAAATCTTCGTTCAATAACAATGCACAGAGATCTCTTATTAATATATCATAGATTCATTCTTCATACCCCATACTAAAGTGACCTACACTGTCACATGACACACCAGGAATTTGCAAAAATTTTGATGATGAAACATAAGAATCTTACCTCAAATTTATCTTGTTCAACTCTGTTGTATTCATCCACTTGTTGTTCTAAGTAGGTTAAATTACGATATCTTTCTATGTAAATCTAAGTAATTTGTCAAAAAATTGTATAAATTAGTAAAGTAAAATGCGAAAGTAAGGTTATTATCATTATGAAGTTATTAGCACAATAAATCATATATTTGGCCAAAAAAAACAGACTTGAGTGTTCCATATAAACCTGTGAGAGATATGTTTAACAAGCAGTTACAGACACATTCAAATGTATGGACATCTTCCTTAATTTAGAAAATGTGCGTCATATTCATTTCACAAGCAAATGATTTCCTTTCATTCTTTGTATTTCTGAATATAGTTACATGCGCACCCATGTCCAATAAATGAGAGGTACTCTAAAACTAAAACAAACAATAAGAAACACTAGACAAAGTACACATCATAATTTATACTGTACCTCATATTGTTTTTCCAAATCACTTTCTAATTTTTCATATTCGTCCATAAAAGCGGGTCTGAAAAAACAACCACAAGAAAAGATAAAATCACAGCTACTGTTTTGTCTTGTTAACGTTGCATAGCATCGAAATCAAACACCATGAGATGTGGAAATTCAAACCGAAATTTGTGCCTGTCATCCTATGTAATATGCATGTCCAAGCATGAAGTAAAGTACTACGTTGTGTGGGATTCAGTATGACCCCCCCCCCCTAGTAACGCTAGGATAATTTCAACAACGACTAAAGTGTGCTTATGTAAAAGACAGAGGTGAGTCTATGGTCAAAATATTTCCGTGATGTAATTTTTGGTTTCTACTCTATTGGAGATGTGCTTCTTATACAGCAAATAAGTTGATGCAAAGACATTTGGTGTGGCAAAAGTTCTGGTCTGGTTTCCGTTAAAATAGTTTCTCTCAAGTAGGAAATAAAGTAATACTGTTCCCTAAAGTTCCATAAAATGTCTGAGATATTTTGATATTTCTATAAATTGGGATATATTTACTACAAAAAAAATACCTGACACTTTGCAGTGTTCTCAATCGTTTTTGATTTCTCTCAAGCTCACTTCTCTTTTTCTCAATCTTGGCTTCCAGATTGGCTTCATCAGACGCAACATTGTCTAACATCAGTTGTGTCTTCTTTGTTTGTTGCTGAAAGAATATCACAATATAAACATTTCTGTTGTAAGGAAACCTAGCATAAAGTCATTGATTATCTCAAATTTTATATAAAGAAGTCAGAGTCAGAATTTCAAGAAATCCAGTCCTAGTAGTATGAAAACAACATTGCAATGTAAATCCAGTTGATGACAGGTCACTGGAAAATTGAGCTTCAACTCAATTAGTTGCAGATTTCACACACACACACACACACACACACACACACACACACACACACACACACACACACACACACACACACACACACACACACACACACACACACACACACACACACACACACACACACACACACACACACACACACACACACACACACACACACACACACACACACACACACACACACACACACACACACACACACACAC